GCCCCCGGACCGGCTCCCGTCTTGGGAGCCAGGCTGTCATTGTTTCCCTGGCATAAATTCAGCCCACAGCTGAACCCCAGCCTTCAGCCCACCAGCTTCGGGGAGATGTCGAGGTCCTGGCGGTCGATGGGAGACTCGAAGCGGAAGTGCTGCAGGATGCTGGTGACGAAGAGGAAGAGCTCCATGTGAGCCAGCGTCTCACCGCAACACAACCGCTTCCCTGCGGGCAGAGGATGGAGAGCTCAGGGCCTGGCACCCAGGGAGGGGGCTCTCAAGCCTGCACAAACCCAGCTGGCAAGGGCTGGCCTGGTTGAGAGCCAGGGGAAGCTGCAGGCTCTTGGGACATTGTGGACACTTGGACAGAAGCCAGGCAGAGAAGGGCCAATGTGTTTGCACATGATCAACATGGTGACGGGGGCCGTGGCAACTTTAAGCAGGTGAGAAGCTGCTGCTTTCCCCCAGAGCTTCTGAGAGAGGAGGAGGAAGGCAGGGAGAGAGAGAGACAGACCATCGCCTCACTGGATCTGTACTGAGCATGGCCATGGGGCTCGTACCAATGGAGAAGGGCATAAAGGCCTCGTTCTTCTTGAATTGCCCCTTGTCATCCAGGAAGTGCCCGGGGTCGAAGGCTTCGGGTCTCTCAAAGTGCTCGGGGTCCTTCAGCACCGAGCCCAGCAGTGCAAACACCTCGGTGCCCTGGGGGAGACAGCGCCATGAGACAGGCCTCACGGGGCTTGGGAGCCCTTTCACGTCTTCACGTGGTGTGCCAAGGGGACAGCTTTGCAGAGCAGCTCAGGGCAAAGCTCCAGGGTCTTGCAACAGCACAGTGCAAAGGCCAGGTCTGTTGGTGTTTGATGTTACTGGAGCAGACCTGCCTCCTCCCCGCTTCCCCCCGGGGGAATAGACCCAGGAGGCCTGGCCCCCCCCGCACACACTCATCCCTCAACCACACAGTCTCGGCACAAACTCTCTTAGCACGGGCTCTTTGGGGCTGGGCCTGGCATCACAGTCCTAGAGAAATGAGACAGAAAGGGGGATCACATGTAGTCCAAACCCCCTGCCTGAGGTGAGATCAGCCCTATCCAAACCAATCAGACATCCCTCATCCTCTGTGTTTATACAGCACTGTGCACCGCTGGGGCCAGGTCGGTGACTGGGAGTTCCTGACCCAGGAGAATTAATAGAAACTGAAATATTTGTCACTCAAAGGGATGGACCTGGCCAAGGTGGTAGGTGCCCTGCCAGCAGCTGGCACAGTATGACTGTGGTACTGGCCCAGGAGATTCAGACCATCATTGGTCTGAATCAGACCAGCCTAGGGAATGACCTGCTGGGTGGCACGGAAGTGGAAATGGATATGGGAGTCCTAGTGGACTCTAAGATGAACATGAGTCGGCAGTGTGACGAAGCCATCAGAAAAGCCAATGGCACTTTATCGTGCATCAGCAGATGCATGACGAACAGGTCCAAGGAGGTGATACTTCCCCTCTGTCGGGCGCTGGTCAGACCGCAGTTGGAGTACTGCGTGCAATTCTGGGCGCCGCACTTCAAGAGGGATGCGGATAACCTGGAGAGGGTCCAGAGAAGGGCCACTCGTATGGTTAAGGGCCTACAGACCAAGCCCTACGAGGAGAGACTAGAGAAACTGGATCTATTCAGCCTCCGCAAGAGAAGGTTGAGAGGCGACCTTGTGGCTGCCTATAAGTTCATCACGGGGGCACAGAAGGGAATTGGTGAGGTTTTATTCACCAAGGCGCCCCCGGGGGTTACAAGAAATAATGGCCACAAGCTAGCAGAGAGCAGATTTAGACTGGACATTAGGAAGAACTTCACAGTTCGAGTGGCCAAGGTCTGGAACGGGCTCCCAAGGGAGGTGGTGCTCTCCCCTACCCTGGGGGTCTTCAAGAGGAGGTTAGATAGGCATCTAGCTGGGGTCATCTAGACCCAGCACGCTTTCCTGCTTATGCAGCGGGTCAGACTCGATGATCTATTGAGGTCCCTTCCGACCCTAACATCTATGAATCTATGAATTGGAGGCCTCACCCCAGCCCCAGCCAGCCCCCAAGAGCCTATGAGCTACACCTGGGGGATGTTGTAGCCACAGAACTGGGTGTCCTTGGTTGTCTGGCGGGACACCCCCAAGGGAAGAATGTTGTAGAACCTCTGGCACTCGTGGATGACGGCGTCCGTGTAGGGCATGCAGCTCCGGTCCTCGATACTGGGGCTGCGGTTCCGGCCAATCACTTGGTCAATCTCCTGGTGGATCTTTTCTGCAGAGACATTGGTTGATCTCTGGAGAATGTAGAGCTCAACACCATTGGATGGGGGCAGGAGGGGAGGAAGAGGGCTCTTCATTCCCGATGATAAAGGTCTCATGTGTTAGAGCATCCTGGGGTCTGCTCTATAGTCCATGTAGCTGCTTGTTGTCCCCAGCATGGAACTTATGTGAGTTGACATAGGTGACACATAGGAGGGTACAGGGGGGTATGTGCCCCCCCCAGAGCGCTGCCTCCCCCAGACAGCAAGTGCTCTGGCTGGTAGGGCGTCACAGAGAGCATTAGTGCCTACACCCCAAAATTGGCTCTGCCAGCTGAAGCCTCCCCCCCAGTTGCTGGCTGGTAGCTGGGGACCCCCTCTCTGGTCGTGCCCAGCTGGTGCCCTCCCAGTCTCAGGAGGCAGCAGTCACCCATGTGAGTTGATGTGGACCTACAGCATCATATCAGTGCAAAACATACATGATTCCCATCCCACTGCTGTGTTCCTCATGGCAGCTGGAGCCGGAAGCAGTGAGAATGCACATGGATGGAAGCCACCGCGCCCATCTCAACCTACCTGGCTCTACGTCCTGCTCTGTGCCCTCCCCACACCATTACCTTCGATCTCTGGGTACTTCAGCAGAATTAGGAAGCTGTAGCGCAGGGTGGTGCTGACCGTCTCCGTTCCACCAAAGAACACACTGAGTGCTGTCATGACAATGTTCTCCAGGAAGAACTCCGAGGATGGGCTCTGCTTTTCCTGTTGGGGAGGGATGGCAGAGAGGAGGCCTGTGAATGCAGAGCTGAGGAGTCTGGAAATCAGAGCACAGGTCAGACCTGGAACAAGCAGCTGCCTTTGCTGTGGATCCATGGGGGGTCTCAGCCTGAGAGACCCCTCCCATGGTGCATGAGCAGGATCAGGACAGTGTTATACCCCACATGGAGGCAATCAATACAAGTCATGCAATCACCTGCAGCTGCCCCCATTTTGCCCCCCACCCCCCGTCTCACAGCACCTGGTGCATCTTGATGAGGAAGCAGTCAATGAAATCCCGTGGGGAGTTGGGGTCCAGGGTCTCCTCATTGGCCTTCACCTTCTTCTCCATGTACTTCTCCAGCCTTTCCAGCAGCTTGAAGGATTTGTGCTGTGGGCCGGGCAGGTAGTTCATGATGCCTGGAAACATGTCGTAGAGCTGCAAGAGGAACCAAGAACTCCCTCAGCCTGGTTCATGGCCATGTGGACAAGCTGTCCATCCATCTGTCCATCCATCCTTTCCAATGATTTAGTCCTTTTCCCTCTCCCCATATCTATTCCTCCCCAAGTGGTCTTTTTTGCATGCATATGTTTGTGTTTTTAAATATCGCTTCCCCATCCATGCATCTTGCTAATTTCCCATCTATCCATCTTCCTATCCATCCACCAGCTTCCAGTATTCCCATCCTTCTGTCCCTCACTCTCCTGCACATCAGTCATGCAGTTCCTAGCCAATTACTTCATTGCATGCTTAAGGTTCTCTGTCCCCCCAGCTCCCTTTGACTTCTGTCTGAAGGGAGAGGCTGAGGGCATGTCCTGGTCCCTGCTGTCCAGCCATGACCACTAAGCACTTTTACCTGCCCCCAGGATGTGCTGGTGAAACGGAAGGTCTCGAGCACCATGTAGAGCAGGGAGAGGAACTCCTTGTCCTCGTAGTCAAAGCGGTCCCCAAAAAGAACAGAGCTGATGACATTGGACACCGAGCGGCTCAAGATGTAGGTGGGGTCGAAGGGCAGGCCTGGGGCATGGGACAAGAAGAGGATATCTGAGGGAGGTTGGGGCAGAGCTGTGGGTTGGCCAAAGGCCAGTTCCTGCCCCAGGGTCCATTGCTGAGATGGGCTGAGAAGGCCTCTCGTCATTGAGGTAAGCCAGAGTTGATGTCAACAGGCCAAGGTGGATTTGTGCCCTCAGTGGAAATGACCACATTGACTCCACCAGGGTAACCATGTTGGTTTGAGCTGGGGCCCCTCCTGCCTGTTAGCTCAGGGCAGCTGGTACGACCCACCTTTAGTGTCATGCAGTGCCCCTAACAGGTATTGAGCTTCATCCAGGATACGCTCCTCAATAGACCTCTTGCCCATTCCAAAGTTTCGCAGGGTGGTGATGGAGAAGCGACGCAGCTGCCTCGCCCGCTCCCCATTGGAGAAGGCCACACCTGGAGGGTGGAACAGAAAGAAGCTGCTTGGTGAACTGAGGGGCTCCTGGGAATCCAAGCTGACCTCTCTCTAAGGGATGGGAAGGGCATAGGCAGTGGAAGTCCGGGGATAATGGGGCTTAGCTCCCCCAAATGTGGGGCAGTGGCTAGGGTTGCAGGGCAGCCCAACCACAGGCTCCAAGCAGTTGCAGCTGAGGAGGGAGGGGTGTGCACAGGCTCAGACATGCAGCCAGGATTGCAGCCAAGATCGCGTGTGGCTTGTGGATCACCACCGAGGATAGCAGGCAAGTCTCAGTCTACTCTGTGAATAGGAAAGGTCTTGGGGTGGGGTCAGATCAAGGTCCCCGTAGTGAGGGAGGGAATGGGGTAGAGGTCGGGACTACTGTACACTGTATGCATGTGTGTGCATGTGCAGCCCACCCAAACAATATTTTATCCCTCCACCTATGGGGAAGGGCCAGGCAGGTGCCCACCCTATCCCAGGAGAGCTGAGCACTGGTGCTTTCCTGGCAGACTGGAATGCCCCCGAATCATGGTGCAAACTGAAGCTGCACAAATGAAACAGAGGAGTGCGCTGCTGGTCTGAGCAGCCCAGCCTGTTCCTGCGATGCACTGGCCAGGAACCCCTTCCCCCCCAGCAAAACTTCCAGCCGCAACAGATCAGCGTTGAGGCAGTGGAGCCCTGCTGACTGAGTCCTGCTGGAGTCCAAGCAGCTGCCTCCACTGCCCCCTTGTGGACACCACTGACCATAGCCCTTGAAGAGCCAGTCGAAGGTGGCCTGCTTCCCACGGCCACCAAACTCCTCGCCTTGGTCCAGAAGGGCTTCCTTAACAGCCCGGTAGCCGCACAGCACCACGACCCGGCGTGTGCCCAGCTGGATGGTGTAGATGGGGCCATACTTCTTACTGAGCTGTGGGACACAGAGACACTGAGGAGCTAGCATCCCTACATGGCCCCTGGAACCCCCCTCACCCCAATTCTCCTGCCTCCTACCAATACTCCTATCTCCCCCTCCCTACTCCTCCCCAAATGCTCCACAGCCCTTCTCTCCCAAGCACCTTCCTGCTTCACACCATCCACAAACTCTTCCCTGTATCTCGTGCTCGACCTCCCCTCCCCAGTATCTCCCCAAAGTCTCATGGAGAACCACTGATTCGAATGGGGAACCTGCCCCCAGCAAGAGCCCCTGTACCTTCATGAGTGCCTTGAATACATTCTTGGTGCCGACGTGCAGCAGATTGCCGACAAGTGGCAGGGGCATGGGTCCTGGTGGCATCTTGCTGCGTCCCTGCATCTGCCACCACATAGAGAGGAGCATGAGGCAGGACAGGCAGAGGGCGAGGAAGAGGGTGACGGCATCAAGGAGCTCCATAGTTGATGGTAGTGTTCGTCTTGGAACGGCATTCGACTGGGTTGAGAGCTGCCTTATATCCCTGTTGGGCGGTTCTTGGCATGGGCACTGCAATTGCAAAATTTGTTTGTGCAAACATGCTATTTTCCTTCCAATCCAGGCTGGCCAGACAGAATAGCAAGACTTAGGGCCACCACATAGTACCACAGCAGGGGGGGGTGGCATTTCCTGCAAATTGTCAGGTAGCACTTCTTGACCTGCCCATCCGCAGCCCCTTGCCAGTTTTCCTCCCTTAATGGTGGAGCTGAGGAGCTGTGGTCTGTGCCCATGAGGCAGAAGCGAGGAACTGGGATTGGAGCTTCCCGAGTTCGATCTGGATGGGGCTAAACCCTCTTCTTGAACTGCATAGCTAAATGCTGGCTGCCCTGCAGAGAGCACAGCAGCCAGGGTGCACAGCACTGGCTGCTGGAATGGTTCCCGCCCTCTGAGCCAGACTCTGTCACTGTGTTTCCCTGGCATAAATTCAGCCCTTAGTTGAACCCAGCCTTCTCCCATCAGCATGTGGCTTCACAAACACATGAGCTGGGCCTCTAGTTCCCTCTGAACAGTTTGTCCAACTAGTGTGTATCAGCTGCCTGCCCCGGCCAGGTACTGGGAACACACCCTGGGACCAGAGGTAGATCTGTGCGGGATGCCTGAAACCCAGGTCTCCAAATCCTCCCAGTGAACTCCAAGACAGCCTGCATGTGCTATATCCACTTTGTCAGGGGCTGACAGGCTTGGGTCCATTTTGTTCTTGGCTACCCTGCTAGAGACTAGGGCCTGCCTTGTGCCACTCCTCAGACCCTGAGCCAAACTATGGTTTCTATGGCAGAGGGAGAGAGCCGCTGCCCCCCGGAGCTCCAGTCTCCATGGACAGCTGAGCTCAGCCCATCATCTATTGGCTATCACATCAACCCTGCCTGCTTGAGATGCACCTGTCCTTCCCCAAGGCCTGTTTCTTCAGATTGAAGACTTGCAAGGAAGGCAGCAGAAGTGGGAAGCAAAGGGGTGGGAGGCTTTTATTGGAGAGATACCCACCTGGGGCAGCCCCATGGATGAGCTAGGGCCATGGATTTCAATGACTGACCCCCGAGGTCACAGCAAGACTAAAAAACAAAGGATAGGATTTCAACATAACCCTTTCACCAGCTCCCAAAGCCCAGCAATGTTGAGCCCTGAAGGTTGTCCCATTCCACCATTCCTATCTGCCACAATTCATGCACAAAGGTGCACGGAGATGGCAAGGTGCAGGAAAAGGAGCTGAAACCGTGGAGCTGTGCCAGGGCCTGATCCACACCAAGCGGGATGAGAGGGAGAGTTGAGGGGGTGAGCTCTCATGCGAGAACATCTCAGGGTCCCACGCTCACACTGATGAAGGCGCCTCCATGTTTTCCCCCTTCATCTCATTTCCTTCTACGACCAGGTGACCGATCACCTGGACAAGGGAGAAGAGATTGATGTCATGTATCTTGACTTCAAAAAAGCCTTCGATCTGGTATCCCATGATCACCTCTTGGCAAAACTGGCCAACTGTGGCCTCGGGTCCACCACGATCTGCTGGCTGGGGAATTGGCTCCGTGGTCGGACCCAGAGGGTGGTGGTTGATGGAAGTCAATTGTCATGGTGCCCTGTGACCAATGGAGTCCCCCAAGGCTGTCCTTGGACCTGTATTGTTCAACACCTTCATTAATGATGTGGACACTGGAGTCAGAAGCGGACTGGCCAAGTTCACTGACGATACCAAACTCTGGGGTAAAGCATCCACACGTGAGGACAGGAGGGTGATCCAAGCTGACCTGGACAGGCTCAGGAAATGGGTGGATGAGAACCTGATGGTGTTTAACACTGAAAAATGCCAGGTTCTCCACCTTGGGAGGAAAAACCCGCAGGATGCTGACATGCTCGGCAGTGCTACACTGGTTAGCACTACGGATGAAAAGGACTTGGGGGTCAAGATTGATCACACGATGAACATGAGCCTTCAATGCGATGCTGCGGCTAGTAAAGCGAGCAAAACGCTGGCTTGCATCCATAGATGCTTCTCAAGCAAATCCCGGGACATCATCCTTCCCTTGTACTCGGCCTTGGTGAGGTCGCAGCTGGAGTACTGTGTCCAGTTTTGGGCTCCACAATTCAAAAAGGATGTGGAGAAGCTTGAGAGAGTGCAGAGAAGAGCCACGCGCATGATCAGAGG